CTGGTCTATCGGTCAGCTGGTTGGTCACCTGGTCACCTGGTTACTGGCCGGTCGGTCACCTGGTCGGTCGGTCAGCTGGTCACCTGGTCGGTCGGTCAGTTGATTACCTGATTGGTCCGGTGGTTCCCTCGGGCCCGTTGAGTTCGGAGGGGGGGACTGGATCCCACTTGAAGTGCAGCCCCCAGTTGAAGCCGCCCCTGACGATGGGCGAGGGCGAGTAGGACAGAGTGTCGGCGGAGATGATGTCGATGACGGGGCAGACGACGGTGCGGCGGTCCCTCTGGATGGGAGCCAGCAGAGGCTGCAGCCACGCCTGGTTCACCTCGCAGTGACTGTCCAGGAAGACCAGCACCTCACCTGTGCGCACAGAGACGGGACAGGGATCAAGTCAACCTGGACTCCCCTAGCAGGAGCTCGAGTAGAGCAAAGCTTGTAAATGACCTTCAGGATCCAGAGGCCGCGCCGGAGCAACCTCCACAAATAAAGTCAGAGATCAACGCACAGATTAGAAGAGTCAGACGGTCTCAAAGGCAGTAAGGGTGTAGGATTTAGGGTTCAGGGATAAAGGGGAGAGGTAGGCTGGGACTGTCCTACTTGGAATAAGGAAGTATAGATTGTAGGAAATAAGAATGTCGGGTATACATAAAAGTACATATGGATTAAAGTAGAAAAAATTATGCAACAATTAGGATATAGGGAACAAGGATGCGTGAACAGGACGTGGGAAATAAAGATGTAGGGACCAAGGACGCACACATTTAGGATAGAGGGAACAAGGATGTAGGAAAGAAGGTAGCACAGGTTCAGGGCTTGTGTCCATATAGCATTTTTCCAGGCAGATCTGCAAATGGGCTTTTTGTCTCCGCTAAGACAAAATATTATATCATAAAGCTCAGACAGACAGACAGACAAGAACAAGCTTCTCCCCCATTGTCTTGGTTACTAGGGTAACGAGTACTGCTGCATGTAATATACGATTGGTTGATTGCCTGTAAAGGCGCGACAGTGATGACACCAGCGTGTTTCTGAAACGTCCAGAGATTTGAAGCACAAAAATGCACGGACCGCTCTGAAAAGTCCTGCTGGGTGCAGCCAGTTTTCTGTAGTCGGCCGAATGCTGCTGCATACTCTCGCTCTGTGCTGCGGCGTACGCTCGCTCTGTGCTGCGGCGTGCTGCGGCGTGCTGCGGCGTACGCTCTGTGCTGCGGCGTGCTGCGGCGTACGCTCTGTGCTGCGGCGTGCTGCGGCGTACGCTCTGTGCTGCGGCGTACGCTCTGACAACTGAAGAAAGACGCTGGGGCTCAGACAATAGGCTATATGGACACAAGCCTTAAGGAAGTAGGGAACAAGGATGTACAGGTTAAATCATCCACAAGGAATTTTAATTTTTTTTATTTCAAAAAGGTTTTTTTCAACAATTCCCATTTGTGTTGGTTCTGGCGCCCCCTGTGAACAAAGCGATGAGGTAATGCATCAGTTTGTGGCTTGGGACGATTAATAGTTGTTAATAGTCAACTTGTTTTAGACCAAGTTAGGTGTAAGCCGACACAGATTTGGTTACTCAGTAACAGTCATTTTGCTGAGAAAGCTCAAGTTAGCAACACTCCCTGCGAATGTCATGTCTTTATAACAACAAGCCAACAATACAGCTCGGCAGCAAGGCCAACATTAACTGTCAATTATCAGCCAGTTGTCTTAGAAGAGGGCCACTTCAGGGTCACTTTACATCCTTTCAAATCCAGCAACCGTCTCCATCTGTTGAATGAGTGACCAAGGTTTCCACACGTGCTCTGTCACTGTCCCCTTTCTCTTTCCTGATCATCTACAGCCAATCTTCATGCTGCTGGTCTCGTTTGCTAATACAAGTCATACAGAGGTATCAGCGTTACACTGGAACTGTTTCATAACCACTTACAAACTCCTTGTAGTTGTTTTAAGGCAGAAAAGAACAAGAATGTGCAGATTAAGGGAACAAGGTTATAAGGATTAAGGAGGTAGGGTATAAGGATGTAGGACGAACCAGTAGCATGTGAGGCTCCTATCATGCGTCCTCTGATGAGTCCTTCCTCCTCTGGTTCCTTACCAGTTTGACTTTCCCCTGCAGCTCCCCTTTAACGTACCGGTCCAAGTCGTCCTTCAGCTCCTCTGAATCAACACACACCAACACTGAGTCTCAATAATCAATTCAAACACAGTTCTTGTGGTCAGACCACTAACAGAACAAGGAAAACATGTTATCAATCAAACATCTGTGTATCCTGGGCATTACCGAGCTCACTGTGGTCATCTACCAGGATGATCTCGTGCAGCAGGTGGGCCGGCGTACGGTCCAGCACGCTGTGGACGGTTCTCAGCAGGGCGGAGAACGCCTCGTTGAAGAAACAGATTACCACGCTGGCAGAAGGTAAAGTCAGAGGATACACCTTATCCCGACACCTGCAGAGAACGGTTTACCATCAGTAAACGGGTTGACCATCAGTAAAAGGGTGATCATCAGTAAAACGGGTTGATCATCAGTAAAACGGGTTGATCATCAGTAAAACGGTTGATCATCAGTAAACGGGTTGATCATCAGTAAAACGGGTTGATCATCAGTAAAACGGGTTGTGTTGTTTACAAAGAGTTGATGGAAGCCTGAAGGGGCTTAGCCTGAAAGCTAACCCTGTGCTTCCTGACTCTCATGTTGTAAAATCTATTTCAAATATCTTGCTAGTTTTTTTTACTCCGTTGTGTTTTAAATGCGGCGTTTGCATGCTGTTCGTTAGATTATGTATGTTTGCTACTGGTCATTGTAGAAGTTACTTAAGGTAATCTTACCGATACATAAAGTAGACTTTGGCTTATAAAAGTATTTTGAGTCAACACATATTTAAAAATTGACAGGCTTGTTGTCACACATTATTGAGGCTAACTCGCTCTCGGCCAGCAGACTGTGGACTCTGTCATGTCTCAGCAGAGTAGGACTGGTCGCCTTGGCAATGTGCATTTGTTTGAGAGCTCAAATATTAACAAACTCTCTGCAGAATCGTTTAACTCAGGTCACCTCACTGAGGTCCAGAGAGACAGAAGGCAGAACTAAAGGATCTGAAGATGAAGGTCTGACAGTGAGCCTGCTGCACGAAATGTTTCATAACCAGCCAACCATCAGGAGCGATCTGGGGTTCGCCGTCTTTGGACGACCCGCTCTTCCTCCTGAGCCTTATCAAAAGGACCGGCGTGCACGGGACGCACATTCATCAATTATATCATAAATATCATTTATGATAGATTATCAGTTTGGCTTATGACACATGGAGACAATAGATCAGACGCCAAACTGTCATATAGGTCACTAGATGGAGCCAAATGATTGGCTCGAGGGGTTTTAGTTGTTTCTCAAACTGACGACGACGTCTAACTGTGTGAAATGAGAAGTAAACCAAAATGTGATGATGTGGAAACACTGAACCCACATGTTTATTGACAACAGCACAAAGACACTTCTCAAATGTTGAAACTGAGAAAGGCTGTCGTTTCAGAATCAAATTTTAAAAACGTTTTAAAAGAAATTGGGCAGCAGCAACAAAAGACTGACAACAGCTGGAGGAACATCAGTTATTTGGGTTAACTGGCAACATGATCGGGTGTAAAGAGTCTTTCTAATGTAAAATTGTTGGGGGGGGGGGGGGTCACCTCTCTCTGAAGGACCGGCGCCCACAAACGGTAATCGTAATGTTCATCATATCATTCAGATTCAGAGATTCAGGAGAAATCTGGACGAGGCTGAAACCAGGACTGGACGGCCGTGAGCTTCAGACGGACCCAGAACCAGATCCAGGTCCTAAATTTAAATTCTGTTTAGAAATCATGGACCTGCGTCCTCCGGGCTGAAGAGGAGAGGGTTATCAGCGTAGACCCAGTATCTGTGATGGTCCTGGGGGGCGTTAGTGCACACGGGGAACCTGCACCATTAATGCTGAACCATGTAAGGTTTCAACACGTGTAGCGACGTCTTCTTCAGGGACGGACATTATGAAACCCCGAACTGTTGAGCAGCTGAAATCCTCCCTCATGCGGGGACGGGAACACTTTCCGGACTCCAGCCGTCGGTCTCCTCAGGTCCAACATCTGATGAGTCTCTGTGCTGCGTTCAGCTAAA